CTCCAAAGGAAGAATACTGAAGTGTTACCCTGTCCAGTAGGCTTTTATGGATTTCATGGTGAGAACTGGATGGAGACTGACATAGTCTTTATTGATACAGGTCTTCTTTAGTGGCATCATGGGACCACCCAGTGAGTCTACATGCCCCATGTATGTCCCCTCTGTCCAACAGGAATGTCACCCATCCTTTCAGGGGAGTGGTCAGATGTGGTACATAGCTAAAACATGATCCACTGTGGGTCCCACCCTTGCTGCCTAAGGGAAACTTGACTCATGTCTTATTTGGGCCTAGGGATGCAGAACTCTAGGACCCAGTTTTTGTCTTTAGGGAGACACCATTATAATTTAGCAAGACAGACTTTCTGTGAGTCATTCACAGACTGAGATGTGCTTTGGTAATGAAAGGAGCAAAACTCACTCCCTTTGCTGAAAATGGCCTGTTCCCGCACAGCCCAGGGTAGAGGGCCACTCTAGCTTCAGCCATTGGTACCCAATGTTACCAGCTAGGCTGAGAGTCATTGTTTTTAGCATTACAACCGCAGTCCAGGAAAGACTGACCTACATGCTGAAGATGGGGACCAGCTTTGGAACACCCAGTGAGTTGTGATAAGCAGGCCCAGAATGGCTGAGGGGAAGAGAGCAAAAGAAAGTTGTCCCCAGAGGGACATGGTTCCATGAGCTTACTTCAGTCCTTACAGAGAGAGGAAGCCGCCTAGGTTCTGACTTGCCCCCTGACACGGGACCAGGCTGTACTTCCTATAGTTTCCTAGGCTGAGAAGGTGGGATTGGGGAGCTGCTCCCATAAGGCTGTGGGAAGGGCACTCACCTGGTGGTCCTGCGCCCTAATTCCCTTAGTCCCACGGATGATCCTAGGGGAGTTGTGGGCAAACCTGGCAAAAAGAGCGTAGTCTACAGTAGACAGCGGGTTCTTGATCTTTGTGCCTAGACACAGCCCTATGACCCTGACCTCACTGACCCCAGCTCTTAAGACTAGCCACTTCCGCTTCCCCCAAGAAGAGCTCTGAGGGCTTCGGTGATGGATACTCCTAGACCAATGGATCAACACACTGTAATCAGACCCCTCTGAATTCTAAGAACTCGGCTGACTCAGCTGCCTGAGTCATGATTTCCTGGGAGGGTAGGCTGCTTTTTACATTTTGGGTTATTTTCCATTTATCATTGAGAGCAAGGGCTCTATCTTCTCCTATTTAAACCTTCAATATGTGGTTGTTTTCACATAAAAATGGGTCTTTCATGAAAGAATGATGTGGCATGTTTAGCCCCAGGCTCTCCAGCTCCTTGGAACCCATACACCAGAGAGACCTCCACCTACCAGCTAGCTGTCCTCTTTCCTGTCGGCCTCTCCTCACCTCCACCCCTCACCAGGGCTGGACTTTAAGGGCAGATCTTCAGCACAAGAAAGGGATGTCTTACAAATTTAAAAGACCAACGAGATGGCTTCATGGGTGAAAACACTTACTGCCCGAGCCTGAAAGCCTGCTTGACCCTCAGAAGCCACGGTGGCTCAGACTCCTGACAACTGTCCTATGACCTGCTCATCCATCTCCATATGCTCACACATACACACAGTGGCTCAGACTCCTGACAACTGTCCGATGACCTGTTCATCCATCTCCATATGCTCACACATACACACAGTGGCTCAGACTCCTGACAACTGTCCTATGACCTGCTCATCCATCTCCATATGCTCACACATACACACAGTGGATCAGACTCCTGACAACTGTCCTATGACCTGCTCATCCATCTCCATATGCTCACACATACACACAGTGGCTCAGACTCCTGACAACTGTCCGATGACCTGCTCATCCATCTCCATATGCTCACACATACACACAAATGACACATTTAAAATACATTTTTGAAAAATGTAAACATCAATGTTCACATGAGGAGACCCTTCCGGGAAGGGTGCATTTTCTTCGCATCACATGCCACATGACCAGTAACATGACCTGCCAGCTCCACCTCTCTTTTCCTACTGCTGAAGCCGAGGGCAGCCACTTCAGCTCCCTTCCCTGACCCTGCTTTCAGATGCTAATTAGCAGGACCTGCCCAGTCTTGGCCCAGCTCCTCTGAGTCTGTCCACACTGACCTGAAATGACTGGGCACCCAGCTTCTTTAGTCGAATTCAGATCCCTTTTCTGTTCACCTTTCCTCCCCTCCCCCAAGGAAAACAGCTCCCAGATGCATAAAGCATGGGTGTTCACTTCACCTAGCTCGCAGCCTGCCCTTACTGAAATGTGTGTTGGCTCCCTGACAGCCGCTGTTCACAAACCACAGCTCAGAAAATCAACTCCTCCTCCAGGAAACCTGTCCCGGAGCCAGTTGCTCTGACCAGGCGCCTTCTCAGACAAGGTGCATTATGCAAAGTAGCGCGAGATAGACAGATTGGCAGGAATTCAGGTACATCACAGCGTGGAAACTCTTGCCAATGTCTAGGCAGAGAGGAAGTAGTGTGTTAATTAACAGGAAGTCCGTCAAAAGCGCTACATGGAGCATTTCCTATCAAAGCCACTGTCAGTAAACAGGCCCCCAGGGGAAGAGTCAGCCCATCAGGCAGGTCAGGGCATTTCTGAAGGAAGAAGTGACTCGGCCTTTCCTCTCGAGAGCCACAGGAAAACCCATCCCTCCTCTGCCACTGTGAGCCTCTTTCCTCTTTATTGTCTCCCACCCGGCGGAGATGAGTCCTTTTAGAGTTAGTGACTCTGGCAGAGCCCACAGCCACAGCCGTGCCCTGCAGCCAATACGTTTGCTTACACATGCACACAGACTCTGAGGCCAGCGATCAATAAGCAGCTCAGTTTCTCCCGAGTTTATCTCCCGATCAGTTCATCTACCAGTATCTCACCGAGTTGTGGGTTCTCTGTGAACCCAGCTGTCATCTCCCTACGTGTCAATCACCACTCAAGTAGGTTTCTCCTGCAAGACTGTGGTGTTTTCATTACCACTCTGTGCCATTTTCATTCTTCCACATTATGAGATTTTGCCGCAACAAGTTGGATGAATTGAGTGTCTGACTCCACTCCGAGGTTAGTTCTGATTGAAGCAAAAATTATCATGAGAGACAAAACACAGAGATACTCTGTTGTAAGCTGCTAGCCTGGTCTGTCACCTGGGTACCCTGTCCCTTTAAAAGGCAAGCTCCGCCTACTCCCAACCTCCTTTCCCCTCCCCCTTCCCCTGTGACTCGGGGATCTCCCCTCTCCTCTCCAGTTCTCTCTTCCTTTCTCTCTCTCCCCTCTCTCCCTCTCTCCCTCTCTCTCTCTCCTCTTCTACCCCCCTCTTCCTCCCTCCTCCCCTTCCTTCCCTTCCCCCTCCATAACCCACTAAATAAATGCTTTGCCCCAGCTCTCTCTGCATGACATATCTGTCTGTCTCTCACCCTCCAAAGGGACCCACCAAGGGACCTCAGCCCCTTATGAGTGACCTCGGGTCACCTCTTTATGAATGATAACATACTCCACAAGTCTTTCCCTATCATGGGAAAGAGAGCTGAAAATCCCAAGCACCTGGTAACTGGCAAGAAAAGTTTAGGGACAATCCATTGACATATCAAGAATGAAAGAGCCCTAAGAGCCAGTGTGGGTGACAATGGGGATGCTGTCTCTGAAGAATTTCAAACCAATAAGAAACCCACCAGCACTGGAGACTCAGTGGTTAACAGCACATGCTCTTTCAGAAGACCCAAGTTTAGTTCATAGCACCCATTGTTGGGCAGTGCACACCCCCCTGTATCTCCAGTTCCAGGAGATCTGGTGCCCTCTCCTGGACTCCAAAGACACCCTCACATGTGCCATACACTCACACAGACACATGATATACATGTAAATAAAGATAAAAATCTTCTTTTAAAAAGAAATCTGACCAAAACAAATTTACATGTTACTATTATGCTATGAGAAACAATCACCACGCTGAAGTGTTCATCCAGGTTTAAGGCTCAAACCACCGCTGCACTAGGCTATTAATGACACATATTAAATTATTACAGTTCTATAATTCTTCTCCATGAATGCGCGTTAGATTCTGCATAGATTTTATTTGGAGAAATCCTCGTTACAAAGTTGGCCACAAGCAGAGATCATTCGGATTCAGACACTGTTGCTGGAAAGTCAGTTATCCCAGCCCATAATCTTTTGATCTAGACTCAGGTAAGAGCTATGCCTGCAACTCCTGGGGTCCTGTGTGTCTTGCATTTAGACAGAACATTTTGAGAAGACAATAGCCCGAGGATCGTCCGTACAGACTTGAGCATCAGTGCTGCCATTTATTGTGAATGCTTGGTGATAAGTATTTTGAAAATCCCCAGTTTTGGGTTTTCTCTGCTGATGTAATAAGCCAAATTCAGCTGAATTTTTAAGACCGGGTTTAATAAACAGAGCAAAGAAAGCAGAGCTGAGCACCCCGGCTGACTCTTAGAAGCAGAAGGAGGAGAAACCACGTGGCAGATTTAAGGTCCTGGTCTTAAATACCCTGTAGGTGTGATCTTGAGCATCTCAGGGGGAAGAGCCACCCCTTGGTGGGCTTTCTGAGGAACAGTGTTTCCACTTAAACATTTGGTGTTTTTGTTTGTTTTCTTATTTGATATTTAGAATTTATAGCAGAAACAGGGAAATTATGAGGTGAGATATAGTTTTTGGTAGGTAAAAACCAGTTTGCACCTGGAATGTTACAACATTCTAATATATTTTAAATTGAGTTTATTCATTTTAATTGTCAGTTGTTTGGAAACAAAGATTTAGTTCAGGGGGCAGAGAGATGGCTCCATGGCTAAGAATGCTGGCTGCTCTGGGTGGGCGGAGGCGGCGGCGCACACCGTTAATCCAGCACTCAGGATGGGCGGAGATGGCGGCGTACACCGTTAATCCAGCACTCAGGGTGGGCGGAGGCGGCGGCGCACACCGTTAATCCAGCACTCAGGGTGGGCGGAGGCGGCGGCGCACACCGTTAATCCAGCACTCAGGATGGGCGGAGGCGGCGGCGCACACCGTTAATCCAGCACTCAGGATGGGTGGAGGCGGCGGCGCACACCGTTAATCCAGCACTCAGGAGGCAGTGACAGATGGATCTCTGTGAGTTTGATGCCAATCTGGTCTACAAGAGCTACAAGAGTATTCATGGAGAAGTATTATAGAACTGTAACAATTTAATATGTGTCGTTAATAGCCTACTACAGCAGTGGTTTGAGCCTTAAACCTGGCTGAACCCTTCAGCCTGGTAACTGTTTCTCACTGCATGATAGTAAGATGGAAGCTTGTTTTGGTCAACTAGTTCCAGGACAGACTCCAAAGCTACAGAGAAACCCTGTCTTGAAAAACAAAAACAAAACAAAATTTAAAAAAATTTAAAAAACACTTGCTGTTCTCCCCAAGGACTTATGTTCAATTCCCAGCACACATGGCAGATCACAATCATCTGTAATATAACTCCAGTTCCTAAGAATCTGATGCCTTCTTCTGACCTCTATGGACCCTGGACACACATATATTTCACAGACATACATGCATCAAAATGCTCATAAACATAAAGTAAAATAAACTAATTCTTAAAAAGAATTAGTTCAGAAAAATATTAGTGTAATTATCTGTCCTGTCCCTTTAAGAGACAAGCCACGCCCACTCCCTCTCCTGTCTGCCCAGGCAAGCTGATCTTCAGCTTCCAGCATGAGTCTCTTCCTTTTCCATCTCCCTCTAGAAGAAGCAGCTTCCGCCTCTCCCCACTTCTATCCTTCCCCCATTCTCTCTCTCCCTCTCCCTCCCCCTCTCTCTGCTCCTCTCCCTTCTTCCCTTCCCTTCCATAACCCACTAAATAAATATCCAACCTCACTCTACAAGTCTCCATGTCTCTGTCTCTCATTCACCGCCTGCCACGGCATGGCTCCCTGCCTGGGACCAACCGCTTTCAGAGACCTGTGGCATGGTCTCATGGCATGCCCATCCATCTGTCTCTCCTTGTGGTCTCATGTGCCGTCCCTGCCTGGGACTAGATGTTCTGGGGACCCTCTGTCTGCTGCCTGCCCCTGCTTGGGGACCTGCGACATGGTCTCACGGCCCACTGCCCACTGCAGCCACTAGGGAACTTGCAGCATTTTTATTTAATCCATTACAATTAGTAGTATGATTCCATTTTATTTAAATTGTATGTGTTTATCTTTTGTTTGTTTGGTTGATTGGTTGGTTGGTTGGTTGGTTGGTTGGTTTGATTTGGTTTTTTTAAGATAGAGTTTCTCTGTGTACCCCTGACTATGCTGGAACTCTTTCTGTAGACCAGGCTGGTCTCAAACTCAGAGATCTTCCCTCTTCTGCTTCTCTTGTGCTAGGATTAAAGATGTATGCCACCACAACTGGCTAAATTGTACACTTTTTGATCTCTTCATTTTATAAATACTAATTTAATAATTACTAGGGTTATCTCTCTAAGATATTATTACCTTCGTCTGTAGCCAGTGCATTAAAGTCCACCTTGCTAAATCGATATGAATTCTATGGATTAGATACCCTTTTTTCCCTTTATTACTGTAGTGTCTATTTTAGGCTTATTCAAAAAACTTGCACCTGAATATGTAAACAAAATTCTCTTAAAACTTCCCTGTTTTGTTTTCCTGGTCATTATGCATGTTCTTTTAATTTTGCCATTGTTACAGAAAATAATATTGCTGAATACAACAAACAGAGGTTAAAATACAGTCTCCTCCAGATGTTACAGACCACAGGACAACCCAGATACAATAGGCAAGAAAGTCCTGCTGTGGGCATGTCCCCTCCAGGCAGCCCGGCAGCTGCTCCATTCTGTTCCTTTTTTCCTTCCTGTTTGAAACTCTTTCAGGCCTCCTTCTGTTCCTTTTCACCCCTCCCCTCCCCTTTATTCTTCCCAACCCTCCCTAACCCTCCCCTTCTTTGTCCACCTCTTCTTCCCTTTCTTCCCCCTTCCTTTATTCGTTCCCCTCTTCCTTCTTCTCTTCTCCCTCCACTTCTTCATTCCCCCCTTTTTCCCCTCCTCCCCCTTCTTCCTTCCTCTCTTCCTCTCTCTTTCCCTCGCTCCCATTTTTTCTCTTCCCTCCTCCTCCCCCCTCTTTCCCCTTTCCTTCCCCAATTAAAATATGAGCTTCCAGAGAATGCAAACCATGTCTGTCTTGAATCCCCACAGAAAGCGGTGCTCAGGTAACATCTGTTGGATTAATTAGACAATCTGCAGCTAATGCCGCCCTCCACCCTTCTGAATACCTTGACTCTCGGGGCACCTGGCACCCGAGAAGGCTGAGATCTCACGCAGCCAGTAAAACTCCACAGCAATGTCCAGCGCCCGAGTGGGCTGAGATCTCACGCAGCCGGTAAAACAACTCCACAGCAACGTCCTTTTATCCGGTTGCTATTTTTGCTCAGTGGTGTTGTCACAGCTCTGGACAACTTGCTAAGGACAGCACACCTCTCCATCCCCATCTTATATTAAAAAGATATTAAACAGGGCTATCTGAGAAAAGGCCCCAGAAGGTGAAAAATGCGCTCCGTACACTGACAGAATCCACTCAAACCGATCTCAGGCCAGTGAGCTTTTGAGGTGTGACCGGTTATGGGACGTGTGATTCGGCAAGATGTTTCCCTCGTCCTCACCTTCAATCAGGGCCCAGTTCTAATCCGTCATAACTGAACCGTTTGTCAAATGTAACGTCCCTTGTCCATTTCCTACTAACTAAAGCCTTTGGCTTCCTTGCCTTGAACACTGACTCCAGTGCCTCGCCCCCACCCCATTTCTCCCAAAGCCAACACCCTGACTTTGCCCCTCACAGTATAAAGTGCCTTGGTGACAGTCACTTCTCAGAATAGAGAGCAGGCTCTCAGTGAGTCATAAGAGCTCCACTGCTTTTTACCCTCCTCTTGTCCTGTGAAATAAACCTCTCAGTCTTCACCTGTGTGTTACTTATAAACTGGCCTTACTCCCATCAAACCTGCTATGTCAATCTGGATTGTCAGTGTGAGTGCCTATGAGATTAGAACAGCACACCTATGGCTATGAAGGAACACCTATCCTGAATGTGGGAGAGAGAGAGTGCCACAGAGCATAGGCATTCTCTCTCTCTCTCTCTCTCTCTGCCTTCCTCATCATGATAGACTGAAACCAGGAGGCAAAAGAAACAATTCCTCTCTTTAAACTGTCAACGTCGGGTGTTTTGTTGCAGCAGTAAAAGCTAATTTATACAGTGTTCTTGCTTACAGTCTCTGGCTGGCTGGTTATCCCTATCGACCCTGGAAGACTCTGTTTAAGCCTTGGAAGGATTCCGCTGGACCTGCTTGTAGTCTTCCAAAGCAGTCACTGCCATGACTGACTTTGAGTGAACCCAGTCGGCTTTCCCAGAGTAGCTTCCCACCATACTATAAACAAAGGAAACTACTAAACCAGAACCTAGAGGCTTCTTCCTGGACCCTGGCACCAACAGCACCAAGAATGTACCTGAAGTCTTGGATATGAGCTTGAGATAAGGCAGGAACATTCTGTATTGCCTAACGCCACTTTTGTGCAGATCACTGTATCTGGTCCCCTTAATCCAAATCACAGAAATCAGCTTGCCTTGCTTTTCCCAAATCCGTGCTTCTGTGAATAAGTCTGGAGTGCTGCATATTGTATAACCATAGATCTGCCATTTCTTTGGTCTCATGACATCTGTGAGCTGATCTGTAAGCTCTGGGACTGGGATTTTCTAGAATAATCATCCTCTGAAACACTGTTTCATTAAAAAAAATTAGGAGTTAATATATATTTCTAAACACCCTTGTAGCAGTCTGTGAATGCTGTCAAATTCTAGTTTAGAGTGTGTGGATTGGCTGACCTCACTGGACCATGGACTTGCTAAGGTCCAATGCTGTCTAGCAGCTCTCCTTTTCTTTTCGGAAGACAAAGCCTCATGATGTAGCTAGGGCTGCACTTGAATTCACGCTTGTCCTGTCTCAGCATCCCCACCCCCACCACCAGTGCTGAAACTCTGGGCATGTGACCTCCACACCCAGCTATTGTAAATGTATTGCCTAGAACAGTATCTGGAACTAAGAGTCACTAATGTTTAACTTCTTACTGAACAAATTAGATGAATGATAAAAAAGGTATTCTTTTTAATTTAAGCATATGAAATTTCTTATGAAAATCTCGAAGTAAAATTGCATTTAATTAGGTATTTGATGAACCACTTTTCTGTAAAAACAAAATCCCGAGAAAACAGGATTTTTTTTTTTTCCATCCTGGGAAAGGCATGCTCAGAAACATACCACATCCCTTCTTGCCGAGCTGTTTCAAGTCCTAGAAAGAGGAGCTGTACTTCCTTTTGGACACAAAGACTCCTAATGATGCTGATTTAACATTCCTCAGAGGTACTAAAATAGCATGCGTTCCTTAGGTCTAGCTGTACCTCACTTCTGAGTGAACAGCAGGACGAGCTGGGGCTAAGACACGGTCATCTGGGCAAGGACTAAAGTCATTCTCAATCTGCAAGTTCCTGAGTACTCCCAGTTTGTTCCGAAGTTACACCTGTGCTTCCAGGGAAAGCCTTTTGCCCCCCCCCCATCCCATGCTCTCCTTCAGTCCCGTGAAGTACTCTCCTGCCAACATCTATACCACTTCAGACTCAGGTTTTATACCATCACCCAGTTGAGCTGTTTGTCCTCAGCCACACAGGGTCAAGTGCAATCCACAGACAACTGACCATACATGTCCCTAGACCGAGTGTAACATGAGGGCCGGCTTGTTGGGGTTTCTGTTCCCGCCTGGTACCCCACAACCAGCAAGTCCCAGAGAAAATCAATCACACAGAGATCTCTATAAGTTATAAAGCTGATTGGCCCATTAGGTCAGGCTTCTTATTAGTCCTTGTAACTTATATTAATCCATTATCATTATCTATGTTAGCCCATGGCTCCGTACCTTTCTCAGCTGGGCAAGTTACAGGCTGCCTCTTCGGTGGTCTGCGCAGGAGTGGCTGAGGAAGTTTCCTCCTCCCTAGCCTTCTCCTATTCTCATTGCCCTGCCTCCACTTCCTGTCTGGTTGACCCACCTATACTTCCTGCCTGGCCAACCAGCGTTTTATTAAAATACATGATCAACAGAATACAGACAATTCTCCCACACCAACCGAGAAAAGGTCAGAATGGTGACAGCAAAGGTATCACATCACAGAAATCACTAGGCATCCCAGCAGCTCCAGGGCAGGCCGTGAAGGGGGCATGATTATCCAGCTGGCCCTGCAGACATTCTAGCTCAACAGTTCGGGTGCACCAGAAACCATCCCTCCTTCGGGAAAAATGGCTTCCCTTGCCCTCTAACTTCCAGCCTTTCTCCAGCGACATAAAACTCCCTAAATACAATTCCTCGGTGGGCAATGAAGGGACAGCGGGGATGCTGTTGTTTAATAAGAAAAGAGTGGAAGCCAGAGAAATGCACCAACTTAGCAAGAGTAGAACTCTCATGCTAAGTGTGGACAGAGTTTTCAGACTGGGGGAGAAGGTCACTGCGTAATGACTGTGACCACGCAGAATGAATTAATGAAACATCACTTTGTTGTGGCTCCAGAAGAGATTCTGGAGGTTGAGTACAGACGTCTGAAAGTAGGAGGAGCAAAAACTGTCTAAGAAATGGCTGGAGAAAGGCTCCCGTAAGCTTTGGTGAAGAAGGCCAGAGAGGGAGGTTTGAGGTGCCTCACCCTCCTCCAGTGGGAGAAAGAGTTTGAAACTGAGGAAAATGTTAGCCACTAATAAGCAAATGTCATCAGCAAAGATGTACCGATTTCAGCCACATAAGGCTGATACTTCCAGGTTCTAGGGGTCAGAAGGTGCAGACAAGCCCTCAGGCACAAGTGACTAATTAATTGCCCCCCGGGGATGTTAAAGGGCCCCATGATCCATGTGTGGTGTGGATTACATCATCTACATATGACTCAGCTAAGCCCTTGTGTGCATGCATGAGCCCCGTCATCTGCGTATGATGCAGCCACGTCATCCCCTGTGTGCATGCGCTAGGCAGCTTTAAAAAGCTGGATGTGCCATCTTCTTCTCTCTCTCTCTCTCTCTCTCTCTCTCTCTTTCTCTCTCTCTCTCTTTCTCTCTCTCTCTGCACACTGACTTCCCCAGGCCTGTACACGCTCCCTCTAATAAACACCTAAGCGGATTTGTTGCAAGTTCCATATTTCCTTCTCACTTGTGCCAGGTAATTTCAAAGGATACTACTAGTATATGTGTCTAAAAGCAATATATTTTTAGAGATTTATTTATTCATTAAATATACAGTGTTCTGTCTGTTTGCATGCCTGCAGGCCCGAAGAGGGCACCAGATCTCATTACAGATGGCTGTGAGCCACTATGTGGTTGCTGGGAATTGAACTCAGGACCTTTGGAAGAGCAGCCAGTGCTCTTAATGACTGAGTCATCACCCCAGTCCCTAATAGCAATATTTTACATTTAGAATATGTAAAAAAAAAGTAGCTGGGTAAATATTATTAACTATGTATATTTAAATATCAAACTAACAGAAATAGATAAAGCTAATGAATTAAATTTTTAAAAAGAAAGCCAAAAAATAAATTCTGGGGCTAGATAACTCACTTTCTTCATATTATAGTTCAGAACCAGCATTTCTCTACTACCCTGAGAAAGAAAACAAGAATGAAAAAGACCTAAAACTAACCACTTTGAATCTAATTAACCAACCACTCTGAACCTAACTAACCACTCTAAACCTAACTAACCAACCACTCTGAACCTAACTAACCACTCTGAACCCAACTAACCAACCACTCTGAACCTAACTAACCACTCTGAATCTGTCAAAGGAAGTAAAAGCAACCATGATCAAGACAGGCAAGCCAAGGATGGTGGTACCATGGTCCCAGCACTTGGGAGGCTGAGGCAGCAGGGTTACTAGTGTGTAGGCCAACCTGGGCTACATAATGAGCACCAAGTCAACCAATGCAAAAGTAGCAGAACTCTGTCTCAAAAATACCAAAGCAGGTCTCACCCCTGAGTAGTGAGATGGCTCATCAGATAAAAGTGCTTGCTGCTAAGGGTGACAAATGGAGTTTAATCCCTGGGACCAGCATGATGGAAAGACCTGAGAGTTGTCCTCAGACCTCTACCTGCACACTGTGACACACACACGCACGCATGCACATGAGAGTAAGAGAGAGAAAGAAGTGGAAAATAATTTTAAAAGAAGTGAAGAAAGGTATAATAACAATATATCAATATTATTGATAGGCAGAAATAAATTAATATGGAATGATAATAATACACAAATGTGGAACCAGTGAATGAAATATTACAATCTTCCAGCAGCAAACACAGAGTAGGAGTAAACATGGGGGTCTGCGTGCCATGCCATAAATATGTAAAAGTCAAATTAACAAACTATTCAAAAATTGAAGGTCGTCCTCCTACTTAGAAATGAATATATTGAAGGAGCGAGGGTAACCTAGCGGTCGAGTCCTTGACCGTATAGGTCGAGTCCTTGACCTTATACACCAGGCACTGGGCTCAATTACCAGCCGTGAAAAAATGAGGACTAAAAAGGGTAAGCGCAGCGGAATGACAACTGTCAGCCAAAATCTGACTGTGAGTGGCTAGCTCAGGCTCTCACATGGCTGTCAGTCCTCCTGCTGGAGGTATGTCTGTCTCGACTGCAGGACAGGGACATGTGTAAGCCTGCGAGCTAATATTTCGCCCCACCACGCACCCACCCAGAGATGTGGTCCATCCGAGCAGCGCTCTCACACACTTGCTCAAGCTTCGGAATCCCCCGAGGCTGCTGATACTCAATAGCTGGGCCCTTCCTTTGGAGTTTTGGGTTTCTGGATTGGAATCCAAGAATTTGCATTTTGTTTTGTTTTGTTTTGTTTTTCGAGACAGGGTTTGTCTGTAGCTTTGGAGCCTGTCCTGGAACTAGCTCTTGTAGACCAGGCTGGCCTCGAACTCACAGAGATCCGCCTGCCTCTGCCTCCCAAGTGCGGCCGTGCCACCACCGCGCGTCGAATTTGCATTTGTAACATATCCCTAGGTCCTGTGATGGTGGAGAGGAAGCCATGTTCTGGGAACCACTGCTGTGATGAGCGATGAAGCATTGCTCTCTGGGAAAGGTTACCCATTGGAGGTAAGCACAGGCAAGGCCCTCTGAAGCACAGCATCCAGGACAGAGTCCTGCTGCCTGCTCTGCCCTACCAGGAGCAGAATACAAACCAGGCAGTCTGGGAGATGTGGGTGTGGCCGGGGCGGTGGGGGAGGCGGGGAAGCAGGGGTCCAGAGTCAATGCTGTCCTTTTTAACCCTGTCTTCCAATCATTCAGAAAGAAGAATCATACTCCCCAACAACAGACCAACCACTTACTGCAAGCAAGGCCAAGTGCCAGGGGGCACGAGGATGCTCTGGTTCCTTCCTCCACCAGTCATGGGGTGAGACAGCAGAGGGGTCAGCTGAGGCCGCCTCGAGAACAGGGCTTGTTTTGTTCTCACCTAAAATGCAGAGTTCATTCATCTGAGAACAAAACCTTCGAGAGCATCATTTATTAACTTTTCATGTAAGGATTGGGGAACTAGGGTACTGCCCTGGTCTAAGAGAAGGTTAGGCTACCTCCTTCTTCAAACGTTTGGAAAGGTAAACTGGGGCTTAAAGCAAAGACAGGCTTTTTTCCTTCCACTAACCCAGGCTTAAGAGATGCCAAAAGACTAAGATGGGACCAGTAATACAAATTGAAAACCCTGTGATCTGATGGCCTTGGTTTCAGCGTCTGCACCTCAGAAGGTAAGGGGTGGTTCTGACCTTTGACTGACTGAACTTTTACCCATCAGTGTATTATTTCAAAATCAACTCTAGTTTTATTTTACATAGAGCACACCAATATAGTAGTTGCCTGCTAGATTTCAAGAATAAGAAGAGCGCACACATCCTTCCACTGGACTGAAAATGCAAGGCTTAAGTGGGGTGCAGATTACCTAGTGAGACCCAGTGGGCCACACCCCACCCTGAAGATGTCTCGAGGCCTCTTTCCGCTTTCCTCAGGTGTTCATCATCAATCAGAGCAGGAGTGCACGTGGAAGAAGTGACTTCCTCAAACCTCACAAGCAGAACCCTCGGGCACTGCCCGTCTCTCCAGGGCCTCTGGAGGAAAGGCTGCTACTGTGTGCTGGCAGGTGACAGATAACACACAGTTTGGACTCTAGAAAGCCCCCCCCCCCCCGGCTTTACTAAATTGCTTTCCTCTGGCACTTTGTTTGAAAGCCCATAAACAGCTGTCTTTCTAACAAGCACTGAGAGCGCACGCTCACAGAAAAGAGAAATGGTTCCTGGGGTGAAGCACTAACTCCATTCACACAGGTCATGGCCTTCTGTGTACACTGTGACGTCAGCTGAAATGCGGGCCACAGCCCAAATGCACGGCCGTATTGGTGAGATTCTGGTGAGGTGGGGGCAGTTCTCCCCAATGCACTGCAGCTGCACAGAAGTCCTGGAAGGTGGCTGGTTCTTAGCCAAGTACAGACTGAGAAGACGGCCTGGTGGGAACCGCAGCAGAGCATTCCCTGGACAGCTGATCCAGGAGTTACCTAAGGGAAATGTTTCCTGCCTAATGGGTGGCACTTTCATGAAACCAGGAGCCAAATGCAATGGTAGAAGGTCACAGCGGGCACAGTCTTCCTTCAGTTATGCCCCGAGAAGCAGCTGCTTTGCATGCGTGACCGCATGACTGCATACGTGCATGCATGAAAGCACAGTTTGCCTATCAGTGGATTGAGTCCTGAAGGGTATATAAAATCTGCACCAATGTTTTCTGCTGGTTGCTTTAGATAGGAAGGAAGGTGCTAGGAAGGAATAGTCAGAATAGAAGAAGAAAGAAAGGAAAGAAAGGAGAAAGAAAGAGAGAGAGGGAGGGAGAAAAGGAGGCAGAGTGTAGGAAGGAAAGAGGGGGACAGGAAGGAGGCAGGTGAAAAAAGATAGATGTATACTCCATCAAGAACCAAGTTGCCTCACCTGTAGACTCATCAAGCCCATGAAGAAACTGATGAGAGATTTAGGCAACACATTATAAAATGGTGGTGTGGCTAACTGAGGCAACTTCCTGTGTGGGGAAAGGATCTCACAGCGACTTTGGACACAGCCCTAAGGAAGCGGTTTGCTGGTGGTACCTGTAATCTCTGCAGGTTTTCACTGTGTTCATAATGCTTTTAAATTGACAAAAATCAAAAGCAATGGTGGTGTGTGTGTGTGTGTGTGTGTGTGTGTGTGTGTGGTGTGGTGTGCACGTTACCTAATAGTTTATGTGAGCATTGTCAACTGCATGGCTGATTTATTCCATGCTTGACCCACGATAACAATACATGTTAAATAAAGTCAATCTAAATGCAGTTCCAAAACCTACTGAAAAGAAAATACTAAACACACACACACACACACACACACACACACACACACACAGCCATAGTGGGTTATTGAATTCATTAAAAGAAAGAAGTAGGGGTGCTGCCCTGAAGGAGAAAGTACTGCCTGATGTCTGCGGCAGCCACAGACACAGATGGCCTGCTAAAGGCAGCAACTTCTGTGGAGTGAGGAGGGCTTTTCAGAAACACAGCTCCCATTATCTCCAGAGGGCATTTAAGGACACCAGTCTTGGCTTCTGCTCTGTGCAGGGCAGAATCATCCTGCTTGGCCGGTGTTCAGGTCAACCGCTAGAGGGAGGCAGGGACCTGAACTTCCAAAGAGCACAGCAACCCGAATTGCCTACGGAGTGGTGGAAGTTCCTTGGAACAACAGTTTTGCTTCATTGTCCTGGGGGGGCTGCTTAATTTCTAGACCGATTCTTCTCTTCAACTGTCACTGAAGGATGCTCCTCTATATGTTCCTATTAGAAGTGAGGAACACCGAGTCTGTCCACACAGCAGGGCCCATCTTGCATTTGGAACGGCATACAGAGAAGGTAGGAAGCTTGCAGGGCGAACTCGCTATCTGAGACACGTCAGCTTTCCCCTCACGCTTATCTCCCCTGACGGACAACTTGAGGGTGGGCCAGCAGCATCTGCTTCATCTGCTGCCTGGCTCTGTGCATCCGCAAGGGTAGTTAAGCAAACTAATGAAGCAAAAGTTCCTTTGCCTTTCAAAACTGTGTCTGCTCTATGTAGCCTGTCTATGTACATGCTGTCTAGGTAGTGTAAAGGAGACATTGCCTACGAAAATGCCCTGGAGGTATATGTAAAAGCGTTCACTTGGTACTTTTAACCACTGGAAGGAGACCAGATGCTCTCTACCAAGAAACCATAAATAAGCTATGTGATGATGTTGTAGACTGTGTTATGATGAATCCCTTATCATCGTACTTTATTTGTAATTATAATGACTCGCTGGACTAGGAAGCTGCCAGACAAGCCTGATGACCTGAGTTCAATCCCCAAACCCAACAATAGGTGAGAACCACCTCCCGAAGTTGCCCTCTGATCTCCACACGTACACCATGTCATTGTGCATCTACACACACATGCATGCATGTGGAGGCCCCAAATTGTGAGCCTATTTCCACCTTACCTGAAGGTCAGAGAGTTTTAGCTTGTTCAAAGTTGTTGATAACAAGTGTGACCTAGGGTTTGGTTACTTCTTTTTGACCTTAAGGTGACCCATAGAGGTAGATCCATTCCACTCCGACCAATGATCAGGATATCCACACAGACTACTGCTCCTTCTTTTGAAATAGGAGGTTTCACCTTGGGAATGGCTGCCTTCAGGATACTTGGTCTAGGGTGGGTTCACTGCCTAAACAAGAGAATGCTAATGACTTGGTGTCTCAAAGTACAAAGTAAGTGTCCTAGCTGTCCTTTGTCCATGTTAAAGCAGCCTTTTGTCTTCTTCCCCCTGTTGTATTGGGGTATAAAAGTGTGTGGAAAATTAAACGCCACGGGTTTTCAGTATTCACTGGAACTCCCTCCTGGTGCTATCCTGTTTTCGATTCTATTATCTTTACTCACGTCTTCGTTTTCTTTACTATTTTTCTAATCCTTATGCCCCTACCATGGCAAGAGGTAGACTTGTCAAACATGGTCCCGAACACATGCAATAATTAATTTTTTAACTTAATGCTAAGGAAAAATAGCACATTGGAAAACAAACAAAATGAGCTCAACCATTTTTGTTTTTTGCAACAGAATCTCACTATGTACTCAAATTCAATATCCTCCTGCCTCTGCACCACTATACCTGGCTGATCTTAATGGCTCAGACATTAAGAGAACAGACTGCTCTTCCAGAGGACCCAGGTTCAACTCCTAATACCCACATGATAGCTCACTAAGCCCAGTCTTCGGACCTCCTTAGAGACCAGTCATGCAGGTAGTACACACACATCCTTGTAGGCAAAACACTTATACACATAAAATAAAATAATCTATTTTTAAAAAAGCAAAGGCCCAAAACCTAAAAGGGATATCCGTTTATCCTCAAAGGCTGGATGTACTTTGTCTTTCTTAACTTTTTGTGTTAAGAATTTATTTTACAATCAAAAAGTGGAATAAACCATTATTCCTGATAAAAAAGAGGCTGAGTTCTTTTTGAGCTTGTAACCATTGAGAAGAAAGGATGGTTGCTAAGAAAGCACTCGGATGGGAGGGGTGGGGAAGCTAATGCGCTCTCACTTCACCTGCTTCTCTGCACAGCGCCCAGCCAGGCACCCTTCTCCATGATATAAACTCAGGGTGACTGGGGATGGGGAGCAGATGACAGCATTCCTGAGGACACTGCCTACTGAGTATAAGCCCTTTGGGTGGCAGGCGGGTGAGAGAATGAACGTCGAAACCTTTGCTTGGACAGCTTTGCCAGGCAGAGAGAAAGAATTACCGTTGGCAAGTTTTATTTTTATTTTGCTCAGTTCAATTCAAAGTGATTATAAATGACCTAAATAATTTTAATTAAGTCCCAAACGCTGTTCTTTACTGCATAAAATTCATCTGGGGCACTCACATGAGTCAGAGAATGGATGTGTTTTGTACATACAGGAAAGCCCTTGCATTTTAGATACATGTGACATCGGTAAAGTGGTATTAATGAGGAATCACTACCCAGATGGAGCACGGGGCAAGCATGTGAGCTATTGAAAGAAAACTAGGAGGAGCCTTTTCCTCTTTGACCTGTACTTCCTGCTTCCCACACCAACCGGTAGACTTTGAACCAGGTAGGATGTGATGTCTAAAGGCATGCCATCTTGGAAGACAATTTTTAAAATTTAGGTAGAATGGTCGAGACTCCCCGCAGACAAGCAAATGAGCATCTAGAATTTTGGTAGGGGCGCCAGGAGCCTCCACAATTGCATCAACTCCTTATCAGTTTTTCATAACTCACCTAGAGAAAGGTTCTGTGGGAAGCGAGGGAAATGGGTTGTTAGGGTCTGAAATAATGTGGCGGATAGAGGCAGGCATTCTCCATCGATAGACTTGTAAAGCTAAAGAAATTAAATGACCACAGTATAAATAACGAAATTAAAAACATCTGAGTCCAGGAAAAAGCAGCAAAGAAACAAGATTTCCATCTTCAGTAAATGTCACGGGGCTCTGAAGCTCACCAAGTCTTCCCCTTGGATGAACCTTGAAACCCTTCTCCGATGGCCTTCCCTTGCTCTCCAGCTTGAGTCAGTGGTGAGAGGGGCATAGGGACCATGAATCAGACCACAGAGGCGGTAGGAAGAGTCTTTACACACTGACCTAGTGAGTGTTGCTCGGCGGCTCTCTGACCTTACCTTCTGTGATTCTCGCTGGCCTGCCTAGACAGAAAACTGTAAACGGTTAACTGGTAGAAACGACACTACTGGCCTTGGATCGTTTCTTCCAACAGGTACTTTCCCTTAACCATTGGCATTTTGGAGAAACTTTTCTTGTAAACTGTAAGACTGGTCCATCTGGTACACACATTTCTCTGTTAGTCTTTATTTCTTTAGCGCTCAGAGATTTGCTGTTATTGTTTCCACGTTAAACAGAATGGCACAGTCAAGGGACTTCAGGCTATCACCAGTCTCCTCGACAACCTGATTTAGGGACCAGCATGCAGCCTAGCAAAGAGAAAAATGACAATGTAATTCTGCCTGTCCTTTGGGGAAGAAAAAGGATGTTTCCGGTAGTGTGAGAGGGAGAGACCAGCCTGACCCTGGGGAAACAGAGCTATAGTGACCATTTCATGCCATATGTGTCCTATAGGCAGGTTCTCTGAGAAGACAACTCAGGGTCTGTGAGTGTATGACCAGAAAAGAGGGCCCAAATACAAAGCACTGTTGCTATCCCAGCAGTGAAAGAGGGATGGTCTTTTAGAACACACTGCTGGACTGTAACAAGTACTCAATATCAACTTTTTCTCTAGTCAAAGGGAACAAAGTAACAAAAGTCAGACAAACCAACCCAGAGCAAACTTTGCACGAAAAGTGTATAAACCTTTTTAAAAGCATTGACTTTGGAACTGAAGAGATGGTTCAGCAGTTTAGAGCACTTGTAGCTCTTGTAAAGGACCATGGTTTTGAGAAATTTCCAGAAATCATATGGTGGCTCACAACCATCTGGAGCTCCATTTCCAGGGTATCTGACTCAATTCATCTTACGAGGCACACACATGATGCATATATATCATGCTATAAAATAAAATTTTATTCAAACATATAAGCATTCATATATGTAAAATAAAGTAGAATATTTTTAACAAATTCTTTGAGTGTAAGGGTTAATGTTTAAATTTGAAATACACCACCCCCAAGCCCATGTTATTTTTAGGGGCTTATTTAATGACTGTGTATGTGCACACGTGCATGCGTGTGAAGGCACCTGTAGAGGCCAAAAGCACTGGATCCTGTGAAGTTGTAATGATAGAGGGTTGTGAGCCACTCAACATGAGTGATGGTAACCTGACATCAAGTTTTCCAAAAGAACAACACACACTCATTACTGCTGAGATATCTCTTGGGGCTCTGGGCTCATGTTTTGAAGGCATGGTCCCAGCTTGTGTGATTTTGAAAGCTTTTGATAATTGCCTAGCAGAAGGAGATCACTAGGAGCAGGGCTGTGCGTGAAGGTGGTGCCTAGTCCTGGTTCCAGACTTCTTGGTTTACTACTCACAGTCGTATGGATGGTTTCCTCCAGCTCCAAGCTCCACAGATGCAGCCCTTCCTGCCTCCAGGTCTTCCCCATCATGACAATATGAAACCATGAACCAAAATGAACATCTCCTCCCTTTGGCTGTTTCTGTCCAGCATTTCAGAGCACGAAGCAGTTAACACAGAGTTAAGCATTGCTCTATACAAACATCTCTCAACTAACTTAATTCAGGATCTCTGAAGGAAGAGCCAAAAACAGTCATTCTTATCCATGTGACTTATTGGGCTGTGCTTTGAGGACAGGAAAATAAAAGGAAAGGGAGATCTGGAACTGG